TGGCATCACAGCTCACAGCAACCTCCAACTCCTGGGCTCAAGGGAGTCTCCTGCTTCCGCCTCCCAAGTAGCTGGGACTATGGTGCCTGCCACAATGCCCGGCTATTTTTTTGTTGCAGCCATCATTGCTGTTTGGCGGCCCTGGGCTGGATTCGAACCTGCCACCTTAGGTGTATGTGGCTGGCGCCTTAGTCACTTAAGCCGCAGGCGCCGAGCCAGAAGTTTTTAATTTAATGAATTCCCTTTATTTCTTTTGTTTTCTGTGCCTCAGGTGTCATATTTAAGAAACCATTGCCACATCCAAGGCACAAAGATTTTCCTTTTTCAGGAACTATAATAAAGGTCCTTGAGATAACTTCTCAGGGCTTGAGTTACATGCTCATCTTTAAAGTAGTCACTGTTCAGACTGGTGAGGCTGAATGATATAGTATTAGCCATATGGCCTTGAGAGAGGGATTAATGCTAAGGGGCTGTTCCCAAAAAGGAAGCACAAATGGTTGGTAGAAAAAAATAGTAAGTACTTAATTTAGTATATTGAAAAGATTATGGTGCCTTAGAGTGCATGTTTTAATTAAAAGTTTTTTTTTTTTTTAAACAGTTTTACTATGTTGCTCTTGGTAGAGTACTGTGGCATCACAGCTTGCAGCAACCTCAAACTTTTGGGCTTAAGCAATTCTCTTGCCTCAGCCTCCCAAGTAGCTGGGACTACAGGTGTCCACCACAATGCCCGGCTATTTTTTGTTGCAGTTGTTGTTTAGCTGGCCCTGGACTGGGTTAGAACCTGCCAACTTTGGTGTATGTGGCTGGCACTGTAACCACTGTGCTTCAGGCACTGAGCCAAAAGTGTATTTTTCTTTTTTTCTTTTGCAGTTTTCAGCCAGGGCCAGCATTGAACCTGCCACCCCTGGCATATGGAGGTGGCACCCTACTTCTTGAGCCACAGGCACCACTCCAAAAGTGTTTTTCTTATAGTAAATATTTAAATGTTTAAAAATGACCTGAATAAGCCAGGCAGAGGGAAACTAGCCTTTTGTTCATGTTTTAAAGTACTTATTTGGCTCATTGTCCATCCTGCTCAGTGGTTAGGGCGCCAGCCACATACACCAGGGCTGGTGGGTTCAAACCGGATTTGGGGCCTGCTAAACAATAATGACAACTGCAACCAAAAAATAGCCGGGCATTGTGGCAGGGACCTGTAGTCCCAGCTACGTAGGAGTTTGAGGTAAGAGAATCGCTTGAGCCCAAGAGTTTGAGGTTGCTGTGAGCTGTGATGCCATGGCATATGACTCTACCCAGGGTGACAGCTTGACTCTTTCTCAAAAAATAAATAAATAAAATAAAAAATAAAGTACTTTTTGTTGTGGTTTGTTTTGTACAGGTACTGCTATAACCAGTGTTTGTTAGAACAAGAATCTACTTATTGGGGTCTCTTGACATAGAAAGAAATGTGGGGGGATTCTCGATCTGCTAACAGAAGAGGACCTTTTCGGTAAGTCCTGAAATTTAAATTTGAAATTGTTTTTAAAAATTGTTAATATTTTAATAAATATGTACTATAGCCTATTGGCCTACTATACAGAGAGATATTTTCTTTGTACAGAAGTAGCTCTGAATTTTTAAAAATAGGAACTTTTAAGTTTTTAGTCATGTCTAAAGTGATAGTGAGCCAGCATGCCAAGTATTTTGTCTTATAACCTTTTTGAAAATATTAATAATAGCTTCAGATTTCTTATTTCTTTTTATCTCTTTTAGCAAAATAATACACACTTGGCTAATAAGGAAAGCTAGCATAATGTACGTAAATGCTTATAGAAGTTCCATTAATTTCACTAATTATGTCTAGAAAACAGAGTTGTGCCTTGTCTCTGGCATATTGCTGCAGTATCAAGAAGGGTGGAGCAGATGGTAGCATTTTGAAGTAAATAGGTTTTTTTTTTTTT